TATGAATAGCTGTCTCGTTTTAGTTCACGTTAAAATCTGGTCCATCTGCCCTATGTATTCTTGAATGTTTCTGGTTTTACCGATAAGTGAAAAATAAAAAAAATTAAAATTTAAAGGGCTCTTTTTTTTTTCTAAAGAAAAACGAATTTTATAGACATAACTTAGGGACAAAATTTACTTGTCACATGAGTGGACTATTGTGACGTAATGACCATGTAGCGTTTCTATTTGGTTCTTTTATTACAACCAATCCCGCACTTGTCAGTTTTTTATTACAGCCAATCCCGCACTTGTCAGAATTTTTTTTACAACCAATCCCGCACATGTCAGTTTTCTTATTACAACCAATCCCGCACTTGTCAGTTTTTTATTACAAACAATCCCACACATGTCAGTTTTTTTTATTACAACCAATCCCGCACTTGTCAGATTTTTTATTACAACCAATCCCGCACTTTTCAGTTTTTTTATTACAACCAATCCTGCACTTGTCAGTTTTTTTTATTACAACCAATCCTGCACTTGTCAGTTTTTTTTATTACAACCAATCCCGCACATGTCAGTTTTTTTATTACAACCAATCCTGCACTTGTCAGTTTTTTTTATTACAATCAATCCCGCACATGTCAGTTTTTTATTACAACCAATCCCGCACATGTCAGGTTTTTTTTTTACACTAATTTTTTTTTTTCAATTATCTTTGAAAAAGACCGTTAGCTACGCATCGGAAGCATTAGCTTTCAAAGGTTCTCAATGTGCTAGCGCGCTTTTTGGCTCTTTCATATCGATTACGGTGTGGGAGATAAACAAGAAATTACTCCACAAAGTTGATGTAAACATGTATCAAGGAACATGCAGGTTAATTGAAAGTATTAAACTGGAAGTATTTGCAAAATGATGATTTGAGGTGACACATATTAAGAATCCCTGGTAAACGTGCAATTTTTGTGGCATATTAATATCAATTTAATGATCAACAAACAAATATTACGCAACATGAACTGCAAATGGCTACAGCGATTTCATTGAAGGATCAGTTACAGCTAAACACAGTTTTCGAATAGAAAGGTACGTCTATCATATTTAAAATATTTTTTTTTGTTAGGGTTCTTATTTCAGCATTCGCCTCCGTCTCGGCTGACCCAACTCACTTCATTCTGTCATGACGGTCCCAACTCACTTGACTCCGTCATGACGGTTCCCCAATTGACTTGGCTCAGTCATGACGGTCTCAACTCACTTGGCTCAGTCATTACGGTCCCAACTCATTCGGCGCCTCGCCTACAAGCCAGAATCAAATTAGGTAGACTTAAGGCCTTGTTAACGGTTAGAGAGAATCGATACTTGTGTGGCCCTTTTCCCATGTGTTTGAGAACTATTTTACATTTTAATAGCTCAAACTTTTATATTAATAAAATGCTAAAAGTTTATTTTTTCAGGCTGCAAAAAAATATTTTAATGCTTGTGGAGAGTTTTGAAGTTTTGGGCACAACACCTTGTCTGATATGTCTCTTGATACCAGTCATCTGTTGGTATTTTCTAACGAAGACACCTAAGAACTACCCACCTGCACCAGGGATGGCCCTGCCTATAATAGGCCACATGTATTTAATTGACACTAACCCGAGAAAACAGTTTAAGGAATGGGCCAAAACGTATGGCCCAGCTTTCAGTCTGCGACTGGGATCACTGCCATTCGTTGTATTAAGTGGTTATGACATCATCAAGGAGGCTCTGGTAAAGAAAGCCGATTACTTCTCTGGCAGACCAGACAAGGACTTCATTTCTTCCACATTCCCTGAAAGTAAAAATGGATTAATTACATCAAACGGTAGAATTTGGAGAGAACAAAGAACCGCTGCCTTGACCATTCTGAGAAAACTTGGAATGGGGAAAAATATTTTAGTCGAGAGAATAACAGAGGAGGTCACTTGTTTTACTGGAGAATTAGCTGAGAGAAATGGAGAACCAACTGATGTTAAAGAATTGACAAACGCGTGTGTTTCCAATGTCATCTGTTCTTTGATATTTGGGAAGAGGTTTAGTTTGGATGACCCGAAATTTCTGAGACTCTTGAAATTAGTCAACTTATCAGTTAAATTGATCAATTCAGCATCACTTTCTAATTTTATTCCTTATCTTCAGTACATTCCGTTTGATCCATTTCATGCCAAAGAACTTATTACAGTAGCAGACGAGATTAAGAAATTTTCTTGTGACATGATTCACGAAATCAAACAGACTTACGACACGAATAATTTAAATAATTTTATCTTTGCTTACATTTATGAAATGAACAAGAAAAAAGAGTCAGGACAGCCCACTGAACTAAATGACGAAAATCTGGCACACTGTATCAATGAACTGTTTGGTGCCGGTTCAGACACAATCAGTACAACCCTTTTGTGGTGTCTATTGTACGCATTGCACTACCCGGACAAACAGGAGAAAGTTTACCAAGAAATTATTGAACACGTTGGAAATAACCGAACACCTACGTTGTTAGATAAATCCAAGCTGAAATATTTAAATGCTTTCATCATGGAGACACAGCGACTTGCGAGTATCGTTCCACTAAATTTTGCACATCGTTGTACTGCAGACACGACACTCTTTGGATTTACCATTCCGGAAGGCACCAACATAATACCAAGCCTCGACTCTGTGCTCCACGATGAGAATATCTGGGGTGACTCTCAAAACTTTAGACCTGAAAGATTCCTCGATGATCAAGGAAATTTAAAATCCGACGAACATCTTATTCCATTTTCTATTGGTCGGAGACTCTGCCCTGGTGAATCATTGGCTAAGATGGAGCTCTTCCTGTTTATGTGCTCTGTTTTTCAAAAATTCAAATGTCTCCCCAAAGATGGGAACAATCTTCCACCACTAAAAGACGTGTTTGGTATCACAGCTCCACCCGAGTCCTATGAAATAAGGTTTATTGAAAGGACTCGTTGATTATTTCTCCGGCTCTTGTGAAAATTGCGGAAGTAGATTTACAGAACTTTTTATTCCCTTTTTCTATCGGTCGAAGACACTGTCTCGGAGAATCATTGGTTAAGATGGAGCTTTTCTTGTTTACGTGTTCTGTTGTTCAAAGATTCAAATGTCTCCCCAAAGATGTGAACAATCTTGCGCCACTAAAAGACGTTTTTTTGGGGGGATCAATTGTTCACCCGAATCCTATGAAATTTGCAGAGGTATAGTTATACTTTTGAATATAGTATTTATGAACACATTAACGAAAACATTATTTTTAATAGAATTTGTCAGCACATTTTCTTTTAGTAATATTTTTAATTAAGCACGTGCTTCGGCAAAAAAATTAAAATTAATATTATTCTTGTGTGTAACTATGTTACGGGCTAAATATTTAATTAAAAGATCTACGTTGAAATCGTTTTTAGAACAAAATAGCAACTCAGCTTATGAGTATTTAAAATATTTTTTTTTCTTGTTTTCACATTTTTATTACTAGCTGTTTCATTACACTGGTTACAACTAAGCCTCCAATCATTTTAACAAACAATTCGTTTAAACTTAAAAAAGAAATTTTTAAAACTTATTAAAAAGTCCTACACTGATTTTTTTTTTTTTAAAGTTTGATAAACGAAAGAATACTTTTTTTATTAGTTGCAAATTTGTCAAAAGTATTTTTTTTTTCCTTTCAGTTTTTGATCTATTTTAAGTTATTTATGTACACCTGTGTTTTTAGTTACATTCATGTGTCAGGACCAAATTGAATATGAATATATATTTTAGTATCATGCATCTGTTGTGGGTTTTTTTTTAAAAATAATCTTTAACTTTACTTAAAGCGCATATATTTCATAACGGCATTGTAAACAGTAATGAGACTTTAACCAGTCTCAGTACATTGGAAATGGAAGGGGACAAAATTATGGGTTTTTGTTGTTGTTTTTAAACCAGCTGATACACATTGGGTCGAAAGAAAGTAGAAAAGTGGCTCATCCGTGTCAGATGTAATTGATACAACTTAGTGAACTGAATGAATATCGTTTCTTAGTATGTTGCTTATCATGCATACATTTTTTTTATTTTACTTAGTTTACATGTTTTTAATAATTGTAAAGCGCTTAGAGCTTTAAGGTAAGCGCTATATAAAAAATGGCTAAATAAATTAATTAACTTTATATACAATTATTTCTTGCCAAGATGTTTTAATGAGTATGTTGATTTGATTCTTCGGTTATTAAAATTATTTCTAAAAACGTGTTTGTTCTTGTTGTTGTTGTTGTTTTATTGTTTTATTTTGAAAATGGCGGTAGCCAAATGCTTGTAATGTTAGTAATTCGTTACTTCATATGGGAAAACCCGTACAGATTTGGGCTGAGCCGGGTTATGCCCCCAGATACAGGAAATGCCGAGTATTAACACCTTCGGCACATACCCGGTCCCGGGAAAATAGAAGCCGTGTTAGGTCAGGTGGGTTTTTTTTTATAAAAAAGAGAAATCACCTCATCGTATTTAATGTCTTGTCCCCCCCCAACCCCACAATGATGAGAATATAGAACCAGTATATTTTGTTTCTTAATATTTAAAAAAAAATTCAATGAGAAACGAAAAGTTAAACCAAAAAAAATCCAACTAAGTTAAAGCAAATTTAAAATCAATCAAGTGATTCCGGCTTTAAAAAATTGTAAGAGCAACAAAATTCATAAGAGTGAACGTGCATTTTTATGTTATTTTAATATTTAAATTTTAATTAAACTTAACATTCTGAAGTTGACAAATTTTTTACGCTTCTTATGTTATGCCATCTATTGACATCAAAATGTGTATTAAAGCTAATAATATTTGCAATAATAACAATACCAATAGAAATATGAAAAAAACAAAATGTATTGAAAGTGAATGATTTTTCTATGATCAAAGGGATAATTTGGTGCCGTGCACATTTTGAGTTTGCACAATATCTTTAAAAGATTAGAATTCAGACAGATTTGTAAATTTTAAAAAAGTGGGGGGGGGGGGAGGCTAAGCAAAAAATTCCCCAAGCGTATCCAACATTAGCAACATGAAACTTCATGACTGAAACTTCATGACTGAAACTTCATGACTTCAACCCTGATCCCCAATATTCAAAAAATGAATACGTACGTTAACCAATATTTAAAGTAATTATAATGAAATGAGCAATGACCAAAAAAAATGGATCTGTGGCTATCCAGTTCAAAGATGTACACTTGTAATAGAATATGGCTCTTGCGATATGCTATATTTTAGATTTTGAGTTGGAAAAAAAAAACAATTTTAGCTGACCAATGCACAGTCACAACCAAATTGTCAACGTTTGACCTTTAAAACGGCAGGCACAAACACACAATCATACAAATACGATAAATTCTACCATACAAGAGAAATGTGATAGTAAATATGGGCTTTTTTTTTTCCTGTCCCTAAACAAATGAATGTAACATGTAAAATATGACGACCATGTAAGAAAATGATAAAAATTCACAGACATTTAACGCTAAATTTTGTCTGGTGTAAACCAAACCAAAACATAAAGAGGGTTAGGGATGAATTCACACTCAGCAAAGTTCACGCTATAGCAAGCTACAATTCCGACTGATCATTTTGTCTCAGAGGTGTACTGCTTAGCCTCACACTTACCAGACCCATAAATAGTTTAGGTTGTTTGAAACAATTGATTAAGATCGGTAATTTTGTGTCTTGAATTTGCTTAAGTTTCTGCATTCACGTGTCCTGGAATTATGTGTGTCATACTCTTTATCCATATATTAGTTTTTTTTTTTAAGGTATCATTGGGTAAAAAAGGAGTCATAAATAAAATAAACGTTATGCGAGTCTCCACACCATTCTCCCCACCCTCGAGCCAAGCGCCATCTTTCATCTCCACACCATTCTCCCCAACTTCCAACTTTACAGCCACAAAAAATTGTCGGGGGAAAAAATCGTTAACCTCACTATTTACTTTTATTTTTCTGAGCACCATCTAAGAGTTAAAGATCATCCTATTTAATCACAAGACACAATTAACGAAATTTGCACATAAACGAATCATTAGAAAAATATAAATACATTTCAACTTAAGGAAAAAGCAAGTGATGTGAATAGCCAAAAACAATTTTTACATATTTAAGGTTTTTTTGTTTTTTTTTTTAATAATATTTTAGCACATATGTTTGTTGAAAATAACCTGTGTCATATTAAACAAGTGATCTCATTCCCAAAATTTCTATTGTTCGAAAACGCTAAAGATGGGTTTATAGAAAGCTTCTGGGAAATCGAACGTCTCGTTTTGGTTCTTTTTTTTTTTAAAAAGAGTCTTTAAAAAAAGGGATTTCTCTTCTCGAAATTCTCGAAATAATAAAATGGTTTACCATGAAGAGAAACACCAGAAAGACTTTTTAAAATACAATTAATGAAACATTTAAAAAAATAATATATGCATAAATACAAAATAATCAATATGCAGCTTCACTTTTTTTTTTTTACAACAAATATAAATACATTCAAAGTATATACAGAGACACGTTTAAATATTGTGATTTTTTAAGATTAAAGTTTTGCATTTGTTAATTTGTTTTTTCAGATTTTTAAGCAATTCAAACAATTCAATCATGTGCTACTAATCACATTTTGTATAATCTTCATTGAATGCCCTTTTTTTTTTAATTGTTAGTCAATTGACAATACGGCAAAATTGAGTATTTTTAATATTGACACAATACGCCCCTTGAACTGTCAGATTCCCCACATTCTGCACGATGATGGTCCTACAAGAAGAGCAAACAAAGATAATTAATAAAGATTACATCTTCTTATTCATAAATAGGCTAGCACTAATGTGTCAAAGTGGTTTGTAGTAAATTCAACTTTTGTTTTCTGCTTTTTTTTTCGGAACAAAACTTTCAGTGCAGGAAGTTCGTAATTTTTTTTATATTTTGCCTCATAATGGGTAAAGAAAAAAATAGCCTCCGGGCTTACAATTATGCCAGTCTTTCATTTGTTTTTACTTTATTTACTTTTCTTACTTATAAACAATTTGTAGTGTCCGTTTCTGATGTCGTATATCTGGAGGTTTCCTGGATTTCTGATGTCGCAAATTTGGAGGTTTCCTTGATTTCTTAGGTCGTAAATATGGAGGTTTCATTGATTGCTGATGTCGCTTAGCGGACGGACTTCGCGTCTTCCTACCTCGTAGACCATCCCGCATGAGTGTCTCTGCATTTGTTGTCCAACAACTTCCTCTTGTGTTTCCTCGTCTTGGATGCCATCGTTTTCGCCAGGCTTGAGTAATGCATTTGCAAAGATCAGTTTTCAGAAAGTTTTGCGTCAGTGAAAAAGTTGAACCAAATACATAACATAATTCATCCTTAAACTTTTGCCTCGTTCTGGTTGTTTTGGTTTCCGTCTTCAGCTTGTTAACTTGTGTTTCATTTTTGACGGATATTTTTTTTTTAACTGGAAAATAATTCCTCGTTTTTATTTGTTCTCTAGCAAATCTGGAATGTCTTACCCTGTTCCTAGAAATACGAAAGCAAGATTAACTAACGAAATTAAAATGTATTTTAAATAATTTAAAAAAAAAAAATTATTATATTAATTTACAATTTTGATCAAGAATTTTTTTCTATATTTTAAGCTAGGTTTTTTTTTATCTTGCACAACAAAAAATAAACAAAAAACTTATTACTCTGTTAGAAAAATTAAAAATTAAATTATTATTATTTGTAGCTACAAGGAATAAGGCTATTCTACAGGAAATGCCTTTCCAGTAACAACGATTACAATCATTACAAGCAAATAAAAGTCAATTTGCAAACAAAACATTTTTCAAATAATTGTATAAAAGTGACTTGGCACTGGCTTTATCATTCAAAGCGAAAATTGCCTCGTTGAAAAATTGCTTACAATTTGTTGCTTTCCATGTTTTTGCAGTGGATGTCATATTGACACTGGATACAATATTTGCACTGAATATCACATTTACACTGGATACAATATTTGCACTGGATAGCATATCATAAATTTACAACTTTTTTTGTCTTCGAAAAACCGAAAATATATATTTTGTAAATGGTTTTCATTTCATTATATTTTTTTTTAAAATAAATATTTATTGGCTATTGTGGGATATTTCAACTAACAAATTTAGACATAACAAATATCAAATTGGGTATGCGTACTTACTTAAGAATATCCGGGACCTTACAGACGTTGACAGGTCTCGGGCATCGTTCTTCAAATCTCAAGTGGTTGCGATTATGGTCCTGTCTTTTAGCTCCATTGTGCCTTACCTTGTTACGCTTTCGTATTGCTGTAGTCATGGACACAATCAATTGTTGGCGTTGTCTTTTGGCGGCTTTCTTCTCGATCGTTTCTGCATGTGATGATATCTTTCTATTGTAATTTTTGCTAAAGACAGTCAGCATCTTTTTAGTATCAGTTGTCGTTAGAACATCAATTGCTGCTTCTTGAAAAATTTGGCGACCTCTTTTTCGTTTTCGTTTCTGTTTAAACTTTTCACAATTCTGCATTCCATTTTTCGCAGGTCCCGTTATTAAAAGGTTAAGCTTGTTATTAAATTCAACATATTTTGCGTCACTCTGAGCTAGTGTGCCATTTCCTTCATCGCATCCAGAAATTGATGCCTCACTGTGTTTGTGATCAACACAGTCCTCTTTGCCATCTCTTATTGCCAATAGGCTAAGGTCGGGGTCTAGGCTTGACTCTGGCTCTGCGTTATCAGGCATAAATACATCTTCATCAACGTCATCTGTTGCTCCTTCTTTAATAAGCAGTTCAACAATGTCAGTCTTGTTTTCCAGTATTGCCAACACTAGAGCGTTCCCATGGCCATTGACTTTCTCGTGGATGTTTGCTCCTCCCTCGATTAACGTCCTGACGTTTTCAATATGTCCCGCACGTATGGCCAGCTCAAGAACCGTATTTCCGTCGTTGTCTTTACCGTTCACGTCGCCTCCGTGATCTATGAGCAATTGGACTAGATAAGTAAAAGATCTGCCTTTTTGGAACACCGCTTCCATTAATGCTGTCCTTCCATTATGTTTCTTTGCATTTACATTTGCGCCTGCTTTTAACAGAACTTCAACACTTTTGCCAACCAGCTCTTCCGATGCGAGGATAAGAGCGGTAGCGCCGTCATCGTTTTTCTCGTCTACACCTACGCCTTTCTCTAAAAGCAGGAGAATAGCGTCTGTGTTTTCGGCCTTTGCGGCGTACATAAGGGTGGTGTTTTTGTGATTGTCCCTCTCAGTGACATCTGCTCCATTTTCAATAAGCAATATTATATTGTCTGTTTTGTTTGCCCTCAAAGCGTGCACAAGTGGAGTGATGCCGTCGTTATCCTTGTCATTAACATGAGCTCCATATCCTATTAACATTTCACACATATTCCTCTTACAATGGACTACAGCTAACATTAGTGCAGTTCGTCCATCTCTGTCTTTTTCGTTTAGATCAGCACCTCTGTTGATTAGAAATTCAGCTTTATCCTTGTTTTCCTGATATGCGTAAAAATGCCATTTGTCTTTATCAACGGTAGCCATTAACGCTGTTCGACCAAGAGTGTTGTGATCATTTAAATTGGCCCCCATCTCTACAAGTTTTTCAACAACAGCTATCGGTGCCTCGCATGCGGCTAATATTAGCGCAGTGTCCTCGGTCGTATTGTTTTGTTTCTCATTGACATTGGCACCACATTTGATCATCATATTCATCAGGTCAACATTCCACTTCTTCACGGCTAGCATTAGAGAAGTGTATCCAGAGCTATTTTTGGAATTCATGTCATATCCTCTTTCCATCAGCGTTTCTACTGTGTGCGCATGACCATTCATTGCGGCTATCATTAAAGCGTTTTCTCCACCACGGTCCACTTCATTTAAATTCGCCCCGTTTTCCATGAGGACAAGAGCAACACCCGTCTGCCCATGTCTCGCTGCTACGAGCAGTGGGGACTCACCATTGTACTTTTGGTTAATATCTATTCCACTTTTAATTAGCGCCTTCACAGCAGTCTTCAGTCCCTTGGCACATGCTGTTAAGAGGCTTTGAAGTTCTACTGTAGTTTTGGTGGACATGTTTTATTTTTCTATCCCTGCTCCCATCGTTGTAATTTAACTGAATTATCTGTAAAACAATTGACATTTAAGTAGATTTTAGATAATCTGACACCCTTATAAATAAGAGTTTCAATTTTTTTTTTTTTTACCGGTTGACTTAAGATATTATCCGAAGCTACGTCTAAGCATAGGAAGCAAAAGAAATCTATACGCAAATTTAACAGAAAAATAATATGAACCACTGTATTATAAATAGAGTGGAGTTTCTTAGAAATTTTTTTTAATATATATTTTATCGAAACATTTTCTTGCAGTTAACCGTTGTGATTCTCTCTATACTTTATAGCTAATAGTGACTGGAGAAAATTAAAAATATTGGGATGGAGTTTTTTGGGAAATACGCGTGTATTATTACACGAGCGTTTTTTCCTTTACAACCGTTTGCTGGGGGACATACTTTTTATCTCTTTTGGTGACTTTTTAAGCGAGTGGCCTGAAGTAAAATGACTGTTAACACTTAATTGTAAAGGATTTGTTAGTTATCTTAGCCGATATCTTGGAAAGACTAAATACCAACTTCAAAGGAACACATAAAAACTGTCGATGCAAACGCGATGCTATTTTATTGCAATAGATTTATTGAATAGTGTCAAAAATATGTTTGTAACAAAACTTTTGACAAGTTACGCTGGCTCAAAAAGTGAAGTGACAGAAACGCTACACTTGTTATTGTCAAACATGTAAAAAAAAAATTGTCAGCTTTTTTTAGAAGATGGACTTAAAAATTTTTTTTTTAACAAATTGATTACGCAAATTGGATGATGCAGCCAATGTTGGGGTTTTTTCTGATATTTCAAATATGCAAAATCAAGAAGATCTCTCAGAAATGCAAAATGGCGAGTCTATTAACACATTATTTAACATAAAAGGAAAGATTGTATTGCTTCATGAGGAAACAAATAAGGAACATTAAAATTCCACCAAAGGTGTAAGACAGCAATTGTTACCGTTTCCATCTTTGTTTTTTAAGTTTTTTTTTTTAAATCTATTATTTGTATTTGTCAACTGTGGTTGTATTTGTTTTTCCGCTATGAATTTGTGATCTCGCACTGTATTTGTGATCTCGCACTGTATTTGTGATCTCGCACTGTATTTGTGATCTCGCACTGTATTTGTGATCTCGCACTGTATTTGTGATCTCGCACTGTATTTGTGATCTCGCACTGTATTTGTGATCTCGCACTGTATTTGTGATCTCGCACTGTATTTGTGATCTCGCACTGTATTTGTGATCTCGCACTGTATTTGTGATCTCGCACTGTATTTGTGATCTCGCACTGTATTTGTGATCTCGCACTGTATTTGTGATCTCGCACTGTATTTGTGATCTCGCACTGTATTTGTGATCTCGCACTGTATTTTTGATCTCGCACTGTATTTGTGATCTCGCACTGTATTTGTGATCTCGCACTGTATTTTTGATCTCGCACTGTATTTGTGATCTCGCACTGTATTTTTGATCTCGCAATGTATTTGTGATCTCGCACTGTATTTGTGATCTCGCACTGTATTTGTGATCTCCCACTGTATTTTTTTTAAACTTTTATTTTGTTTGGTGATGTCTGAACGTATTTAAAAATTATTAAATAATAAATAATATGCCTAAATGAAATGAATAATAATTAAAACATTCTTGAATGATCTTAATTTTTTAATCCTTGAATTTCACTTTTTCATTAAATGTTTGAAAATTTAGTTTTGTTTTTTTTTTTTGTCCTTCTTTTTTTACTTAAACCTTAAACCTGTCATTTAGTTTTATTTCAGTAAACAATTCAATTATTTAATATTAAATGTATGTATATATTACTTGATTTTTTTTTTGGTGGGGGGCCATAAGTATTTTAGAAAGACTTGGGTTTGGCATGACCCTAAAATGTTGGGAGACACTGCCTTTGAAGGATGTTTGAAATGCCAAATGTTTAGAATCTATAGCGTGCATCGTGTGAGATTCGCCATGAGGAGTAAAATTTTACGTCATCTAGATTAATGGTAGACAATAGCTACCTCGTTTGTATGGTTACTACATTGTGTTTGTTACATTTGATCCCTAAAACTAACGAATTTGGAAGAGAGAAAAAAAAAGATAGTTACATGTCGTAGAAATGAAGACATAAACACGACCAGGAAGTAATTGGGTAATTCCTAATCACGAGAAAGACTAGTTTTCGTAGACTATTGCATCAGGTTTTTTTTTTTTAAAAAAGGCGCATTAACTGTGCAATTTTAAGGTCTGAATACTCACCTGACAACCAAATCATGGTAATGACTTATCTTTGTTGATCACGTGTCTTAGTAATAAGCTCTTTGGAGAAAGTCCTTATTTTAGTAAAACCGTGAAGCTTTCACGTGGTTGTTTTGTTCGTTTGTTTTTTTTGCTGTAGGCCAAAAAGTTTTGTTTGTGTGTACTCAATTTTTAAAAGTTTTGTTTGTTTGTACTCGATTACAATAAGTTTTCGAAAACTACATGAAACAGACGGAATTATTTTTTTTTTAAAATATTGTTATAAATAATGTAATTCCATTCAATTCACGGTATCGTCTTCCATACCATAATGATTAAATCGAAAAACCATGGCAGAGACCACTGATATGAATGCGGGTACCAATCTACTCGCTCGTACTCCAAGAAAATAGGATTTAACAAAAAAAATATATAGTGTTCGTACCATATACTTCACTCCTATTTCAAAATCTCTAGATTCCAAGCGGGTTGTCATGTGAGGTCAGAGCGTAATCAGAGTTAGTGCAACGTGGGCCGCCCGATAATTTCCTCGCATCCTTAAACAAACTTAACTCTGCAGTCGGACGAAAAGACGGACACCCCCCTCCCCCCATGCCCTATGCATCCTGTAGTACGCCACGCTTGAGAGGAATTTTGTCTTTGAAAAGGGGTACTGAAGTGTGAAAGAGGATGTTAGGCAAGGCAAAGGGAAAGGGTATAGGAGAGGATTAGTGTGTGTGTTTGTGTGTGTGTGTGTGTGTGCAGGCGTGTGTCTGCGTCTGTGTCTATGTGGGTGTGGGTTCGTCTGTAATGTGTGTATGTGTCTGTTTCTGTGAGTGCGTGCGCACATGCCTTGGGTATGTGTGTGTGTGTCCGTGTGTGTTTGTGTGTGTGTGTGAAATTTAGTTGCTACATTTTCATTTATTTTTTTTGTACAAGACATCACCTTCAACGGCCATTCCTGTTTTGAATCCTAACAGAAAATATCGACGAAATTATATTAAATTGTAAACATAACCTTTTAAACAACTACATCATAGACTATAATTCGTAGAGTTTTATCATTATTATTATTATAATCATTAGATGTGGTTTTATATAGCGCGATACTCCCAGGGTAGGGCTGGGCTCACCACGCTGTTCTTACAATTTAACAAACATAATCATGAACGAAAAAATGTACATGCATTAATAAATGAAACAAAACAAAGGTATATTCACTCCACCACATTCAAGAACTATTTACATGTCAAGCCATGGACGGCTACCCAGCAGCATCGTTTATGGGTCAGATGGAATAATTCGCAAGTTGTAAATTGTAATTATAGATGATATAATTTTCAACGAAAATTTACTCAGTAGAAAAGTTACGTATTTGAAAATGAATGAAACTATGAAATCTCAAAACCTAAAGAAAAACCAAGGGGAAAACATACTTACTTGTCGCAGAGCTTGGATGAGACTAACCTGACATCGTATATGCCACAAGGAAGTTTATTACATCAAAATACCTTGGGTAAATTCCGATTGATGTGTAGGATTGGTTTCAAAGACTATCTAACAAGACTATCAAACACATGCGCACTGCAAGTTCTGGGGTGCAAATAGTAATGTTTCGTACCGTGTGAATTTTGTCGACATTAATTTTACCTTGCTGAACTAGAGAAAGTTTAAAGCTCAGTTATCTAAGTTACGCATAGGGCTCATGAATAGTAGTTTAAATATATGAATATGTTATCCTATTCTTCTACCAGCTATGTTGCCAAACTCTTCTACCTGATAAGTTGGCAAACTCTTCTACCAGCCATGCTGCCAAATTTTTATGTTAGCTTTGTTGTCTGTTTCTTCTACCAGCTGTATTGCCAAACTCCTTTACCTACGTTGCCAGACTCTTCTATCATTTATGCTGACAAACTCTTCAACAAGCTATAATGACAAATTCGTCTCTCGGCTATGTTGTCTATTTCTTCTACCAGCTATATTGCCAAACTTTTCTACTAGCTAAGATGTCCGTCTTTTTAACCGGCTGTGTTGCAACAATCTTCTTCGACTACATTTCCTTTCTAAAATCTATTTGCAACGATGGTAATTGACATAAATAAACACATGTCTTGTAACACTTAGACCTGCCTTAACCTAAACTCACGATTGGAGCTGGAACGGTACTTGACGTAAACACAGTTTTACTGAACGGTAACTAAATTGTGTTCGGCGTGGAGCTGGAACGGAGCTGAGGTAATCTTTATGGATTTTGAGTGGATCTTGAACGGAGCTGAGGTAATCAAAATCCCTTCGGAGTGGATCTTGAACGGAGCTGAGATAATCACAATGTGTTTGGGGTGGATCTGGAACGGAGCTTGAGGTTACCAAAATGTGTCCGGAGTAGAGCTTGAACGACCCCATGTCAACCCTCTGAGAAAAATGTGTTCAACTATCATTGTTTTAACGGTCAGACATGAACTTAAAATCGTGAATTAAAATTTTAAAAAATGTACACGCGATAAACAAGGAGACCCGAAAGATTGTAAAAAGCGTAGTAATGGCGTCTGATAATTATTCGATTGTATAGGTTTAAATAGTGTTATTAAAAACGTACGAAGAGTGGCATATTGAAACAAATTGTAAATTATTGTTTGAAGAATGTTTTATATGAAAAATGCATCTTTCCAATGCACCAGATTTGCCATGATACTTAAACACGCGGCGCTTTCAGCACAGCCGAAAAAGAGTCCTCCAAGTAGCATTGACTATGGCGCTTCCAGTATATTTAAGTGATGGGTCCCACAAATTTAAGATAAGATAAGATACTTTTATTGATCCAAATAACTGGAAATGTTTTTTTTTTATTACAGTGTACGTATACATTTCAATCACATAAGTAAATTCATAATTTAAAGAAAGTCAACATTAACCGACTAAAACAATTTAAACACTAGGCGTCGCAATCAAATTATGTCACTAGCGTAAAAAATAACAGCCAATCAGTGGATTATCTTGTTCACAATAAGGGACTTAATTGGTAAGAATTCGATTTTGTTACCTATGGGGGAGCACGCTGGTAAAGTCTTTTGATTGGGAAGAAACGAATTATTTTATCTTTCGGTCATCGCCTAAACAGAAAGAATTCGTCCCGAAGTATTTGTGATGAAGGGTTTCGGATGTATCATCCAAAATATACGTGAATGGAAAAATTCAGGTATAATGAAATGAATTCATGATAGTACGAATGATGTCCTTATGGAACCCAAGCGCCTAGTCTTTGAGAATGCTGGCACTGGTTGCATTGAAAAAGTGTCATGTTAGTAGCAGAGATCATTCGTTTCAGTTGGAGACAAAGCCAAGTGGTCCCTGTTCCAGGAGCGAACAGAACGCATGATTGGGGAGTCAACAGAGACACCCAATTCATCCAAAAGCATTGACGATGCATATAACGACTTTGTGAGTGGTATCCTCACTGTGGCAAAACAAACAATCCCGAGAACAAACGGGAACCGCAAGTTCCGTCCTTTTTGGAATAAGAAGCTGGCAAAGTTAGTCCGTGAACGAAAGAGAGCCCGGACCAAAGCCGGTAAGTTGAAGACGGTCGCTGCTCGTGCGGCTTACAACAAACTGACGGCAGAGGTCCGGAAGGAGGTTGATAGGGCAAAAAAGGAAAAATGGGTTAGTTCATGCGGAAAACTCGACCTAAAAGACGGCAAAAGGGTCTGGCGATTGATGGACTCATTATCCTGCACGGGAAAGGTAAAAAATCTGCGTCCGTTGCAAACGACGACAGGCACGGCCACCACAGATGCCAAAAGTGCCGATGCTCTAAACAAGCATTTTGCAAAGATAAACCGGAAGCAGAAAGAGACCAGAGAGAGCCAGAACCTTAACCGTCTCCGGCGAAATGGAGAAGTGGCCCAGAAGTGGGGGCCGCATGCAGAGGTCTTCACCGCACCTTTCACTTTGGTTGAATTGCAAACCGCCATTAACAAGTGCGACGCCGCCAAGGCACCAGGTCAGGACAAGATTTGCAATGAAATGATTAAAAACCTTGGCCCAATAGCAAGGACAACGCTATTGGAAATTATAAATAGAACATGGGTAACGGGAATCCTACCCAAAGCTTGGCTAAGCGCTACCATCGTCCCTATTCCCAAAGAAGGGAAGAAACTCGATAAACCTGACGGCTACCGCCCGATCTCCCTGACATCGACGTTAGGGAAGGTAGCCGAGAGCATGGTCAACCAGAGACTCTACTGGCACTTGGAGAGCACTAAGAGTCTCAGCTCAATACAGGCGGGCTTCCGCAAGGGAATGCAGCCTGTGGACCAAGTGCTCCGTCTTCTCCAGTCCATAACAGATGGGCTCCAAAAGAAATCCCATACAGTGGCAGTATTTTTTGACCTCAAACAAGCCTATGACCGAGTTTGGAGGTCCGGTCTATTGTTGAAATTGCAGAAGTTGGGAGTAACCGCGAACATGTATAGGTGGATCTCCGGTTTCCTCACAAACCGGACGATAAACACGAAATTCGGCAGTGAAACCTCCAGGAAGAGGACACTTGAGGAAGGACTCCCGCAGGGGTCTGCCCTCAGCTGCACCCTATTCCTTGCTTACATCAATGACCTGCCACAGGTGCTAACGACTAGCTCTGCCATGTATGTGGACGATTTGGTAATTTGGAGCACCGGTAAGGATGTCCACCGCCTGCAAACGCTATTACAGCAGGACCTTTCTGCTATCAACAGGTACATGCGGCGGTGGCATCAGGAAATCAACACCGAGAAGACGGTCTATTCACTGTTCACAAATGGGCGGACCATTCTCAAGCAGGAGATCGAGCTCAAGGTGGGCGATGTAGCACTAAAGTGGGACAAACAACCGGTCTACCTGGGAGTTAAGTTGGACCAAAAGTTACAAATGCATAATTTTGTACAGGACCTCTGCTCCCAGGCGACCGCCAAGCTCAACCTGGTGAAAAAATTGGCTTGCACAAGTTGGGGCGCGAGCGCAAGTACGCTTAGAGCTCTTTTTCTAGGCAGTGTAAGGTCGGTGATGGATTACAGCATGCCGGTCCAATCCTTTGCAAGCAAGACTGCACTGGAAAAACTGGGCCGAATCCAGAATCAGGCACTGAGATTCATCTGTGGCGCATACAGGACTACTCCCACAGCTGCTGTAGAAGTCTTGGCCAATGTAGAACCGCTACAAATTAGGAGGGAAAAATCCATCTTAAATACCGTAGAGAGGTACCGACGGCTTGGTGAAAATGAACCAGCCTTTCAAATGCAAAATAACTGGGTGGGTGGCAGGAGACTAAAGAGGTCCTCTTTCATGCACCAGGTCGTGGAGCTGGAGAGGACAGTCCCCCTGCCCCCAAATAGAGAACGTCTGACCCAAATCCCAGTTAATCCGCCTTATGCGGAACCCTCACGTCCCTCCATACATTTGGCCTTGACAGATGCAGCAGTGACGAAGCGCAGCCCTGAACATGTACAGAGAGTGGCTGCCCTTGAGACCATGGATGTGTTTACGCACATACCTGTGAAAGTGTTCACGGACGGCTCTGCCGACCGTAGAAAAGGAACTGCCGGGTACGGTGCGCTTATTCAGTACCCAGTAGGTGGACCACCTAATGAAAAACTCTCGGGGCCCTGTGGGACTACAGCGTCAAACTTCGACGCGGAGCTTATAGCTATGCACAAGGCCCTGGAGAGAGTCCATATCACTCTGGAAGGGACGGAGCATGCGGGGCTTGATATTGTTGTCTTCTCGGACTCAAGATCTGCTCTTGAGATCTTGGAGAAGAGGCAGGGTACCACAAGCATGGTCGACGTCATTCACACTGACATTTGCAGACTTAGTGAAATAGGGTGCAAGGTCGAAATGCAATGGATACCAGGGCATGTCAACATCAGTGGCAATGAGATAGCTGACACTCTGGCGAAAACCGGGGCTGCCCAGCCTCAGCCAGAAGTACCAATGACTTTCTTGGGAGTCAAAAGCTGGCTGGCGGACCACTTCAGGCAGAAGTGGTACAGGCAATGGGCTGACAACACGACCGCCAGAGGCGTCTATTCGAACTTGCCTACTCCTAGCAAGCAAGACCCATGGTGGGGATTAGGTCGTAGATCGCAGAGTCTAGTGACGCAGATGCGTACCGAGCACTGCCCCTTGCGCACATATTTCTGGAGGTTGGACAACAACAGAGATCCTACCTGCCGGCATTGCAGCCTGGCCCCAGAGACCTTAGAACATCTGTTGACTGAGTGTCCCGCACTAGATCTCCCGGGGGAAGCCAGGGGGGTTGGAGGATCCTTTGTGAGGGAAATGTTGTATGGCTCAACTCAACAGATGGAGTTGATAGCCAATTTACTAGCCGGGGTCATAAGAGAGTAATCTCAGACCTTCACCAGAATATGTGCGTTAGTTAGTTGGAGACAACTCAAAGAGATTGTCCTTTTTAGAAAGCCAAAGACATCTTGAAAGAC